TAAGTCAAGGTTCCACTGTATACATATGTACAATCACTGGACACTTTCCTAGAACTGCTGCAGCTTCTGGAATTCTTTGAAACATGAGTGTATGCTCAATGGTGTTTTACGCTCCTCACATAAAACGAGTGTCTGTGTTTTTGTGGGCATTTTTTGGTATGTGCACAGACATAACACCTCTTCTGAGCATTTTTCCTGAAGCAGTAGCAAGCAGTGGTATGGTATAGTGATCACCAGGCCTCAGAGGAGAGGGTATGTGTTGATAATTTTGTGGGCGCTGGTCTATTGTGAGTTGTTCCTTGGTACTTGAATATTATTTGTCTGATAACTGACAAACAAAATTCACCATATTTAGGTTTGTTTTTGGTCTTCAACTTATACATATTATAAGCATTCAGCATGGAAATGTCAAGAAGATGGAAAAAGAGTTTTATGTACCACTTATAACTCTTGCAAACACAATCAGCAAACCCAGTCTGCATGTCACATTTGTCCACTAACTGCATATTGAGGTTGTAATCCATCACAGCTGCAGGTTTTACAATTGGTTCATTAGTCTCTCTATTCTGTTTGCCACTGTCTACCATTTCATGTTGCTGAACTGATGTCAACAGTGTGACATCACATTTGTCATGCCACTGAAATGCCATGATGTCATTGGCAGCAAACACCTGAACATCACCTCTATGAGTGCCAGCATCGAACCTGGGCATATGTTTACGATTTCCACACACATCTGTCATGTTCACTTGCAAGAAATCACTGAGTAAAAGGCTTGTGTACCAATTGTCAGTATATAAAATATGCCCCTTACCAAGATATGGTTCCATCATTGTTCTAACCACATCACCAGAGATACCCAGTAACTTCCTGGTATCTTGCAATGTTTTACTGCCAGTGCACACAATTATATCCAAAACCAGACCACTTTTGCAATCACACAGTACAAATAACTTCATACCAAAGCATTTCCTCTTGCTTGGTATATACTGCTTGAATGAGAGTCTTCCTTTGAACAAAATGGAAAGATTCATCAATAACAAGCTTCCTGAAGGGATAAAAATACATACAGCACTTTTGTTTCAGGTACATAAACACATTTCTGATCTTATATAACTTGTCGCTTCTGTCAGGCCTTGTTTTGTCTGAAAATTGTAGCATATATAACAGTAGCACAAATCTATTCACTGGTATAATGTCACTGAAAGCTGGGGTTGAAATCAGGCAGTCTGTCGACCAGTATGTGTTGACACTGTGCTTATACACATTTGGCATAAGCATTATTGTGGCAAAGAACAGATACATCTCTGCCACAGTTGTGTCCTTCCACTGGTGTAGGCATGATCTTGGTGAAAGAATTGTTTGCCATGGTGTACTCAAAGTATGTATTGCTTTCCCTGGCAATAATGTCCATCAGGGATTCATTGAAGAATAACTGAAAACATTCCAGTTCAGTAGCCTTGTTCCCAAGTGTACATGATGGCTGTATTCCACTTTGTGTTTCATCAAAATGATGAGGATTGGAACAAAATTGTCAACTTGCTGCCAATCCCAGATGCGGTCTGCTGGTGGGTTCTGGATATTGAAAGGTGGTTGTGGTTGTGCAGGTTATGGTTGTGGATGTTGTGGGAGTGTGGGGTTGGTTGAGGCTAGTTGTGGTTGCACTGAGTTAGCAGCGTCGGTAGTAGCATGGCCCGCTGCTGGCTCCACATGACTCATACCACCACCACTATCACCACCACCACCACCTGCTGCCTCACTCACATCATTCATATCCATTGTAACAATATCGTCATCTTCATTATCAGTTCGTGGTGTAAGGCCACTGGATGTACTCCAAGATTTACTCCTTCACCTTGGAACAACATATGACACACTTCCAGAATGCAAGCTACATCGTATATACTTGCACTTCGCTGGAGAATATTCACCATCACTGTCGCAACTAGAACTGCTTTCAATAGCTTTGAAATCACTATCATTATCACTTTCACTGCTCACATCTGAGTCTTGTACACAGGCAAATAGTTTCCTCTTTCGTCCTGGTACAGATGAACGTGAATGAGACGGCCCAGCACCAGATGTGGATGGTTGAGGGCCGTCTGCATTTTCATCACTAATTATGTTATCCTGGGTGGTGCTTTCGGTCACACCCATTCCAAAACCATGAAATTCACTTTTACTGGCACTTCCATCACTGTTAGAGCTATCACATGGGAACAAAAGACCTCCAATCTGCTGAGGAGTGAGGTACTTCTTACCACGAGGCATGGTGAAAATGGACTACCAAGATGGCGTTCCCACAATGCACCACTGAGTCCCCGATTTTTTTTACATGGTGCACACCCACCACTCACACCCATTCTCTCTCATGTAGGCCTACCAGCTTTCTCCTGCTTGATTTGAAGCCGCTAGAATTTATGCATATAAATACGTCAAACATGGTGGCTCGTATGACGTATATATACAACCGAAACAGTCAAAGGGTTAAGTTTTCGAAGTCTGTACAATAGGTTGTCATTTTTTAGTCAGGCACTCATTTATATACACATTACTCCTTTTCTTGATGGAGGAACTTATTAGGTCCTTTTTTACATCAATGGAATTGAATTTTAACATAACACTTTGCTTTTGACCCAGCCTGCCTAGCAGTTGGGCCTCCTTGATATCACCGGTTTCAATGTTAACTTGTATCTCATCTTTTATTAGCTGGAGTGCATTGATGGTGCAGTTCTGATTGTTTGTATCTGGTGGTAAGGTAGAGCTGGTTAAAATGACAGAATCTAGGAGCTTGTCTTGTTCAGTCATATCCCTTTGATACTGGAAGCATGCATTCCACTGGGATTCCATGTTTAACTTCCAATCTTGTGTAGCTTCTGACAACTTGGTGGTGACTTACTTGACTTAGTGTATTTCCATGGTTGTCCTTGATTTCCATTGGGGTTCTTGATTTCCATTGTTTGTCTTTGTGTACTGAATAGTTTTTCAGCTGTCTTGTTCTTGGCAGTGTTTGTCTTTCAGTGTCACTCAGTTAGCTGCAGTTGAACATTTGCAGGATACTATCACTCATGTGAGTCACGTCCGATACATAAACTGGACCTGACTGACTGTGTTCTCTCTATACCCAGGCTGAATGCATACAAGTTGATGTGGCTACAGCTAAGAGATAAGATATTAATTTGTGATTTTTTTTCACGAGTTTTAAAATATTTTATGTTTATATTTTTTTATTTTTTTTTATTTTGCTGTTTAACCCTTTGACTGTTTCAGTCGTTTATATACGTCTTACGAGCCAGTGTTTCGGATGTATATACGTATACTCAATAATTCTAGCGGCTTCAAATCAAGCAGGAGAAAGCTGGTAGGCCCACATGTGAGAGAATGGGTCTGTGTTGGTAGTGTGCACTTCATAAAAAAAATCCTGCAGCACGCAGTGCATTATGAGAAAAAAAAACTCAGACCGTGTTTTTGGATTAAAACGCCGACTTTGAGGTGTATTTTCATATAGTATTTATGGTTGTATTCTCATTTTCTTGGTTTCATTTGATAAAATGGAAAACGTATAACAGAAATAGAGATGATTTTGATTATTTTCACAGTGAAAATGACCTTAAAATTGAGCTCAAAGTTGCAGAAATGTTTGGTTTTTACCAATGTTCAAGAGTAAACAAATCACACCACACATCCAATACACGTCAACTGAGGAGTCTAATATTCTTTCACTAGTGCACTGATATTATTTATACCATTTTTACAATAATGCAATAGTCTGCATAACAGTAAATCTTCTATTTTTTGTGTGAATAAAAAATCAAAATAGAAAGCATGAGTAATATAAGAGGGGCCTAGAGACGTGACTAATGAACAGAGGACATGTTATTTTAGTACCAAGAATGTCTGCATTGTTTATTCTGGACCCTATTTTGAAATTGGCATTTTTTTTAATTCTCATGAAATTGGCCAAATTCGCAATTTCTGACCACTGTATTGGGTAGTTGAAGTTGGTAAATGGGCAGTTTTTTGTACTCAATTGATAGAAAAATAGAGTTCTAAAGAAATAACTTTGAGTTTGGTCAACTGGAACAATGGAATTGGCCAAAAATAGGGCTCAAAGTGGGCAAAATTGCCGATGTGTATATGTCGCCGAGATCGCTAACTTTGCGGGAACGTAATTCAGTAAGTTTTTGATGAAACTTCATACTTTTGGTGTCATTACCATTGGGAAAATATTCTCTATTATTTCACAAGATTTTTTTTTTTTTTTTTTTCAAAAAAATTTTTTGACATAGAATGACAGTTTCAGAAAGGGGCTTGCGACTGTCACAGGGTTAATAAGAGTATATTTGTACTGCCCACAATAGAATTCAGATTGGATGAACTATGAACATTAACTGCAGAAGTAGAAGATCCTTGTCACTTTATAATGAGCACAGATTCAAACATTAGCAGCATTAGAATTAGGCAGGCTTTACAAAAGGATATTGGATGGTATACAGATATGTTTGCTGATAAAAACAAGAAAAAAATGTACAAACTGTGTTCAGCTATTTTTCAAAATAAAAATTATCTTTTTCTTTTTGTATGGTACAGTGTTTATTTACAACTTAATAAAAGTTTTTAATACTCCTTTTTTATTTATCTTTTGTAATTTTTTTTATTTGCATATGTGTGCAAGAGTTTCAGGTGCATTGATTTGTACAAAGCAAACGGCTAAATATTTTTTGCGATCTGACACATTTAATCATATTGGAATGCATTACTTTGAAACACATTATAATAATATACCTTGATCAGTAGGGTATTCTTTTTTTTTTTTTTTTGGCACTCATTAACTGTACTATGCAAGGTACTGCTGTAATGAACATAACAATATTTTAATGTTTTAAGATGTGTGTGTCATTTGTGATATAATTTCCTCACATATTTTTGTATTAAATTCCTACTGTTGGTATTATATTAGCAAGAGTAATGTTAATGTCTGCCTTCACCACCATCATCAGGGTGATGGAGAGAAGGTGGTGCAGCTGCTGAGTGAGGGAGCCAACCCTAACACTAAGGATAACGCAGGATGGACACCCTTGGTATGTCCACTTATCCTCACTTTAAGTAGGATGGATGACCTTGGTATGTACACTTCTCACAGTTTATAATGTAGGATGGACGACCTTGCTTCATACACTTCTCCTTACACTTTAAAGTAGAATTAACAACCTTGCTTCATACACTTCTCACACTTTAAAGTAGGATGGACAACCTTAGTACATACACTTCTCACACTTTAAATTAGGATGAATGACCATGGTACGTGCATAAATTTCTCGTTGCACTTTAACCCTTTCAGGGTTTCGGACGTACTAGTACGGCTAATGCACCAGGGTTTTTTAAATACTAGTACGCCTAAATTCTAGCTCCCTCAAATCTAGTGAGAGAAAGCTGGTAGGCCTACATATGAAAGAATGGGTGTACGTGGTCAGTGTGCGCAGTATAAAAAAATCCTGCAGCACACAGTGCGTAATGAGAAAAAAAAACTGACAGTGTTTTGGGATTAAAACAGCAACTTTGCACTGTATTTTCGTATGGTATTTATTGTTGTATTCTAGTTTTCCTGGTCTCATTTTATTGAATGGAAGACATATTACAGAAATTAAGATGATTTTGACTGGTTTTACAATGAAAAGTGCCTTGAAATTGAGCTCAAAGTAGCGGAAATGTTCGATTTTTACCATTGTTCAAAAGTAAACAAATCATGCTAAGCGTCCAATACACGTCAACTGCTGAGTCTAATATTCTTTCACAAGTGCGCTGATATTATTTATATCATTTCTACACTGATGCAGTAGTCTGCATAACAGTAAATCTATTTTTTGTGAGAATAAAAGTTCAAAGTGGAAAGCAAAAGAATGTAAGAGGGGCATGGGGACATGACTAATGAACAGAGGAAATGTTATTTTAGTGCCAGGAATGTCTTTCTTGTTTATTCTGGACCCTATTTGGAAATTGGCATCTTTTGAAATTTGTGTGAAATTGACAAAATTGCTAAATTCTGACCACTGTATTGGATAGTTGAAATTGGTAAATGGGTGGTTTCTTGTACTCATTCGATAGAAAAAATGGAGTTCTAGCAAAATAGTTATGATTTTTGTCGACTAGTACACTGGAATTGGCTGAAAATAGGGCTCAAAGTGGGCAAAATCGACGATGCGTAAACATTGTCAAGACCGCTATTTTCATGAGAGCATAATTCTGTAAGTTTTCCATCAAATTTCATACTTTTGGTATCATTATGATCGGGAAAAGATTCTCTATCTCTTCATAAGAAAAATAATTTTTCTTTTGAAATTTGGGGGACCCTGAGAACAAGTCTCTGAGAGGGCCTGTGGACCCTGAAAGGGTTCAAGTAGGATGACTCAACCCCTGCAACCACAGTTAGGTGAGTACAGTGTTTGGGATGGTTCACACACTACACCATGATAGTGTCTGGGATGGTTGACATACTGCACCATGGTAGTGTCTGGGATGGTTCACATGCTAAACATGAGTTCACACATTGTAGAGTTAAAAGTGGAGAGTGAAGCAGCATAAGTATAGGTCGGGAGAAGCCAAGCTACAAAAGAAAGGACTACACAGGCATGAGGAATTTTCTGAAGGAGAACTGATGGGAAACAGTAAATGAAATGATGGAATGCGTGACCACAAAATGCAAGGTTCGTACCCAAGGGTAAAGGAAACAATAGGAAGACCAAAATGAGCCCTTGGTTCTCCCACAGGAGTACAGAGAACATAACTAAGTGCACTAGAGAATGGAAAAAAGTATAGAAGACAAAGGATCCAGTAAAATAAAGAGATTAGTCAAAGAGCCAGAAATGAATGTGCATGAATAAGGAGGGAGGCCCAGCGGCAATATGAGAATAACATGGTATCAAAAGCCATATCTGACTCAAAGCTGCTGTACAGCCACATCAAGAGGAGAACAGCAGTCAAGGGTCACGTAATCAAACTGAGGAAGGAAAGAGGGGAAACCACAAGAAACAACAGAGAAGTATATGAGGAGCTCAAGATGAGATTCAAGGAAGTGTTTTCGGTGGAGACAGAATGGACTCCAGCAAACTGGGATGGAAGGGTATGCCAACATTACATACAACAGAGGAGGTGGTGAAGATGCTGCTAAGTGGGCTAGATACCTCAAAGGCAGTGGGACCAGACATCTCTCCATGGGTTCCGAGAGAGGGAGCAGAGGCACTGTCTATTCCACTAACAACAATCTTCAACACATCTGTTGAAACAGGGCAACTACCTGAGGTGTGGAAGATGGTGGCAAAGTAGTCCCAGTCTTTAACCCTTTGACTGTTTTGGCCGTATATATATATATACAGTGAACTCCCGCTTTATGATCACCTCCCAATGCGACCAATTATGTAAGTGTATTTATGTAAGTGCGTATGTACGTGTATGTTTGGGGGTCTGAAATGGACTAATCTAATTCACAATATTCCTTATGGGAACAAATTCGTTCAGTACTGGCACCTGAGCATACTTCTGGAATGAAATAATATAAACCGGGGTCCACTGTATATATATAAATATATAATATATATATATATATATATATATATATATATATATATATATTATATATATATATATAATATATATATATATAATACAGTGGACCCCCGCATAACGATTTTAATCCGTGCAAGAGGGGTAATTGTTATGCGAAATAATCGGTATGTGAATGAATTTTCCCCATAAGAAATAAAGGAAATAAAATTAATCCGTGCAAGACACCCAAAAGTATGAAAAAAAAATTTTTTTACCACATGAAATATACATTTTCCCACACACAAAGAGAAGGATACATGCACAATAGTAGAGTAGTACATGCACAGTATATATTGTGCATGTACTAGTCTACTAAATGAAGAATAAATTACCTTTATTGAAGATGCAGCAATGACTGATGAGACACTGTGTCCTGGGAGTGCCTTTTCCTCCTGAGTACTGTAGGTCCTGTTTGGCATTTTCTTCCAGAACAGGCCTTATCACACTGTGTATGCCACTACGATTCTTAAATCTCTCAAACCAACCTTTGCTGGCTTTAAATTCATCAATATGAGCACTAGTTCCAGGCATTTTTTCCTGTTCACCTGGGTGTTAGTCGACTTGTGTGGGTTGCATCCTGGGAGACAAGATTAAGGACCCCAATGGAAATAAGTTAGACAGTCTTCGATGACACTGACTTTTTTGGGTTATCCTGGGTGGCAAATCCTCTGGGGTTAATTGTTTCTTGGTATTCTCAATAAGCCACACCAACAACGGTGCTACAGCAGCAGCAGCAGCTGACGGTGGTACAGCAGCAACAGACGATGCTACAGCAGCAGCAGACGATGCTACAGCAGCAACAGACGATGTTACAGCAGCAGCAGATGATGCTACAGCAGCAGCAGCAGCTGACGGTGGTACAGCAGCAACAGACGATGCTACAGCAGCAGCAGACGATGCTGCAGCAGCAGCAGCAGCTGACGGTGGTACAGCAGCAACAGACGATGCTACAGCAGCAACAGACGATGCTACAGCAGCAACAGACGATGTTACAGCAGCAGCAGACGATGCTACAGCAGCAGCAGCAGCTGACAGTGCAGCACCAGCAGCAGCTGACAGTGCAGCAGCAGCAGCAGCTGTACCACCAATAGTAGCGATGGTTGATTGGGGTTTATTATACAACCTGGCCAGCTCGGAGACACGCACTCCACTTTCATACTTATCAATGATCTTTTTCTTCATCTCTATTGTAATTCTCACCCTTATTGCTGTAGGTTGGCACTG